ATTTCTTTCTTTTCCTTCTACTTTTCTACAAATGTTTTTCATTTGACACACTTTTCAGGCTTCCAATATGACAGCGATGAATTTCACACTAAAAACGTCACCAATTTTACCTTCTGTTCAAACAATTTCAAATTTCTCAGATCCATTCGCATTACAGTTTCCTGAGTTAAATTCAAGCTCGAATGTTGAACTCTTACAAAATTTATCGCAGACAAACATTACTTTGTCATGATATCAACTTAAACAATTCCACATTCAAATGAATTGATATTTTAATTAGAGTTGGGATATCAACATATAACTTGCTGATTGTTGCATTGCAATAGGAAATCCCGGGCGGAAGTGGATAATCATGAAGTAATGATAATAATACGCATAAATAAGCATCCATTGACTGATTCCAGATGGCACCATCAAAAATTGCTTTGGTAGTGTTTGTTGGATTTTGCTTTACTACATTTTCGTTAACAATCCCCATTAGACGACACTTACTTTACTAATACTTTTTTCATGTCCATTGTATCCATATACTCTTGAGTGACATTCCTACTGAATCCTGAAGATGTTCTGTACTATTTATTAACTTACATATGCCGACAGTATTAATCAATGAAATGTATAAATATTGGTACACGACAAAGATAGACAGATTTCCAAACAGATCTTATAGACAGATCTCATGCTGGATTCATTTTTTTTTTTTATCAAAAATCATATTTCCATCGTTAAAAAACTATTTTAAATGTTACATTAGATGTGCTTAAGGCGTAAGCATTTACTTATGGCTTTTGGAAGGAATGATAAGTCTGGGACAGTTATTAGTAAAATTTTGAAATGATTTAGTCTATCACTTTGAAAAAGGAATTTTTGCCGGAAATAAAAATTCCCGGGATTTCATAAATATTGTGTTTGATTTGCATATATAGTCCACATTAAGCCAAATATACCGATAGTGGGAATGAATTTTTAATTTTAAACGAGGTTTTTCAAACAAATTATGAAGAGTAGGTGTATAATCGCGCTATGAATAGATAAGTAAATTGTAATGAAACTTCATTAACATTAAAACAGAAATGAAATCCAGCATGATTATCTTTTTTTTTGAAAATTTTAATATCACTTAAAGATTTACAATTGAAAGTAAAAAGAAAAAAATGGCGAAAGATTGAATGTGCTATGATCGTTGTATGCTTACAATATGGCGAAAATCTCAAATTGGTATTAAAAAGTTTCAAATTTTGGAAGGTTTACTGCCTTGTTTAGCTACATTCTAAACTATTTTACAGTTAATATTAAGGAGTTCGTTGAGTAATTGATTCATTCAGTTAAGGAAGGAAAAAACTTTATTCTTTTCTGTCAATAAAGATACGATCACCCCATGCACCAAAGCGCCCACCAGGAAATACAGCAAAATCTTCGCCACCATTATTTTCACGCCATGGTTCAAAATCTCCATCCCAAGGTTTGAAATTTCCGCTCCACCATTTTTTTGATTCACTTTTATCAACCGGTTGATTCCACAATATGTTGCTCCACCATTGTTTTAACATTCCTTTTTCAATGCTAAAAAGGAGAAAAAAGAAACATTCAATATTTTTTTTTCAATTTCATAAAAAATTCTAGTTTCATAGTTTCATAAAATTTTGACTGTGTGCTGGAAGGATGACAACAACCAACTTTTTTTCGCTAATTTGGTGTTAACTTAGAGTGAGAAATAATTAGTATCGTGTCAGCTTAATCAATCCAAGGCGATTTTATTTGTTATGTAAAGAAACTACATTTGTCCGTTTTAATGATAAAGAAAAGGAACTTTAAGGTTGACAGTTTCCAAATAGGAAGTAAAATGGGATAGTAAGACTAATAAGCTGTTCCCATGTTGTTTAATTTGTTCGTAAGTTTAATGGAGCGTTTCATCGATTGTATTATTATAGAGAGATGTGATACTTCGGATATTTCGGTTCCAGTAATCGAATAGTGGAAGATTTCATTTGGAAGGTATTTTATGCGTATCAAAGACAAAACATCCTGTTCCTGTTTCTTCACGTCCTAATTTGTAATTCCCCGGTTTAATTAGTCTATTAATATCAAAAAGAAATGCCTAACCTATCACTATCGCGTATTCTCGCATAGGCATTAATCAGGATGAGATTGAGCAAAATCAGCTTTTTGATTATCATTTTCGGAAAAGATATGCGGAATCTTTTCTATCACTGTAACGCTGAAGGAAAAATTTGGGAAAAAAGTTTAGTGTCATAAATTTTAATATTTTCCTGCAGCTATCATCACAATATTATGATAGAGAATATGGTATAAGCAAAAGGATCACAAAAAACGAAACTTCCTACAATTATTTAAACTATTTATGATGAAATGACGACACCTACGCATCTTTTGTTTTTTGCTTTTTTTTTTTCTCTCTAACAAACATATGGCAGAATATGTTATATTTATTATTTCCTCATTATTATGGATAATAAGAGAAATGAAAAAATTACAATTCGAAGAGATACAAACTTTTCCTTTGATCCATTAAGGCATTCTATTTGTCATATGGATTATGTCACTTGCACAAAAGTACAACAAATTACTGTCATTTATGGCAGTAATGAGATGGAAATGAAATGAAACAAATTAAAAGAAAGAAAGAAAAGCGTTACGAATTCTCAAACTTTTGCATTTTTTATAGTATATTTTAGTGCAGAACCAATGAAATACAAAATGGTTACAGTACCAAAATTACCAAATAATAAAGTGACAATTTATACATAGCTGAAATTATATTACATATACAATTCCATAATGAGCAGTAGTTTTTCGTCTACTGATTAGCAATCATTAAAATGAGAGAATTAGATAAGTAAGAAGTGCAGATATGTAAAAAAAATGCAATCAAAAGTTATGAAGCATCAGTCGTAAGGAAACTTGAAAACGCCCAATGAATATCATGCGGCTTTTATTTCACAAGTAATATTGATTAAAGTTGAATCACTGTTAATTTTTCAAAGGAAGATGAAAAACAAAAACTTCTAGATTGATGATTTAATCGGAATATGATAAATGAGTGATAAGTTGTGGAGTAGATTTTTGCCTTGAGGATTGGAATAATGATGTAATTGAGTAATAAGAATTAACATCTCTGATAATTTACTTTCCATATGTCTTATTTATTTTCATACTTAGATAATATCGCTAAAAAATATGTTTACAAATACATATAAATGGATGATTATTATTAAACAAAACATTAAAGAAATCACACAAATTTTATTTAAAAAAAGATTAAGTTTAAATCAAAGTTTACAGTTATTTTGTTGTATTAATGAAATTAAAACAGAAAATATTGTTGCAACAGAATTTACAAAAGAAAATAACGAATTCCAATCGTCGTGTTTGTAAGACATTACCTGTCATTTATATTTCAAGCATGAAGATTTGTCTGCGCCTGGAACGCTAGAATTTTTACTATTTAAAAAAAAGATCATTCTTCATCACTCTTCTCTCCATCATCATTTGGTGGATTCAGTATTTCCGAAATTAAATTATCGCTACTGATTTTCGACCGTGAAATATTGATAACATTAATGAATCAGTAGAGAGAAAAAAGAATAATAATTGGGGATTTTGCTTAATTCGAAATTTTATTCAAATCATTGAATCAAAAAATGAATTGATAATAAAAAAGAATCCACTTGTTTTATCATTCAATTCACATGACATCATTTGCATTCGTTATTCGCTGCAATAAAATTAAATTTTGCTTACTAAAAGTAATTCTTATCAAATATTTCAAATAATATTTTAGATACCTATGCAATTCTCAATGGAATTCTACTCATTCATGGAATTAATTAATTAGTCGAATATTTCGGAAAGATGATTGCTAACTTGAACTGGATGAAACAGCAAATGAAACGAAGTAGAAGAAAAAATTAAAATAAAGAAAACGATAACTTTATGACATATTATCACCTCTTATGAAATCAGTTGAACTTTTTCGGATGCTTTTGAATTTTGAAATTTACTCCTTAATTTAGTTTCTTCTTTACTTCCCCCTCTCGTTTTTTTATTTAATCAAATAAGTTAAAAGAAATATGTAATTCTTTCTCTGTATACTTTCACTTCAGTCAAATTATGCAACTTTCTAATGTTAGACCATTTCAGTCGGAAAATGAAATTGAAGCTGAAGCTACATTTTACAGTTTGAATATCCATTTCAAGTGCTTAAAATTGCAACTTTTCCAAACTTAGTATATCACTCATATTTACAATTATTCGAGTACATATATATTATTTATATATATGTGCAGAAAAAAGAACTTTATCGTGAATGAATTTGATTTTCGCGAGAAGTGATTGAATGATGAATATGCCAAAGTTTCAGACAAAATATTTTGGAAGAAAAAAAAATTATTTAAAAGTGTTTCCAAAGGATTGACAGAATTATGCATTGATTAATCAAAAATTCGTCAAATTGATCGTAAATCGGAATTTATGCGTTGAGTCTGCTTAAGATTTACATTCATTGTTGTCGATAATTACGGCTGTCGATAGTAACCAATTTGATAATTAGTCATTATGTTTAAATTAATTAATCACTGTGAACAGTAATTAATCACCGTACAAATCAAATTAATTCTGAAAGCTTTCATGAGGGAAATTTAAGCTAAAATAAACAAAAGGGATGAAATAAATAATAAAAATTTTGGAGTAATTAATTTTTGATTAATAAAAATTTTTAATTATCGACTTGTTTCCATGAAAATAATATTTCATTAATTAATACTTCATTCAAAATAAAAATAATACTTCATTCAAAATAATACTTCAAATAATATTTCATTAATTAATACTTCATTCAAAATAATACTTCAAATAATATTTCATTAATTAATACTTCATTCAAAATAAAAATAATACTTCATTCAAAATAATACTTCAAATAATATTTCATTTTCACGATTTCAACGATAATGACATAGTAATTGTTGTAGGTTAAAAAATACCCAGTACTATCAAAAAAGACCAATAATCAACTTGATAATTAATCATTGTGTAAATTAGAATTTTTAAAACATTAAAATTTTTAAAATCAAAGGTACACATACATATATCCGCTGAACAGAATTGTGTTAAAAATTTTTCCATTCCTTCCTTTCCGTTTTGATGGCATTAAATTTTCAATAGTTTTTTATTTCAGTTATTCAAACTATCATTTTCGCTTTATTTGAACAAAATTAATTGATCGATAAAAAGATCGAAGGTTATTGCAATTACAATAACTTTTACGTTCTGAGATAATTTCATTTGATAAGAATGATTAAATAAACTTTTTTTGTGATAATTTCCTTTTCACACTAACTTTTTTTTTAAACTGCTGATATTACGTTACTTACAATGTGGAAAACATTAGATGATAATTTTTCCGAATCAATCATTGAATACAACTGGATACGGTGATGATTTTTTGCGGTATGTCTATCAAAATATTCATACAGCTCTTGAGATGTATCAAACGAAATCCATTCAACTTCATGACAGTAATATTTCTCTCTGATATATCTACGGGAATTCCCAGTACTGAGTTATACATACAGAATTCATAAGAGTGAATACGAGATCATATTTTTCAAGGTTATATATACCAAGATTTGCACAATTAAATACAGTAATGCTCTCCTACATGTATCAAAATTTGTTGCAATAATTTTAATCTGCTGAGATAATTTTACAAAGAACACAAAGTGCAATTAGCAAATGATTGTATCAGTCGCTATTGCCGTGATATGAACCACTCACGCTTTCTGTTCTACGGTATATGAGTGATTTTCAACAAATTTACAATTTCAATTAATTCTACTTTGGACAGTCACAAAAAGAAATTGTCTGTCGCAAATTTAAGCCATTTTTAATCTTATATCGATTTCACCTTCAATGTAAATATTTTGTAGCATTTTCCGGTCTTTTATGAATTACATTCTTGAATGAAATCTGAGTTAAGCTAACAACCGAAGAGAAAATAGATGACACTGCGACAGCAAAATTTGGTATAAGCTGTACTTTCACATCGAATAGAAATATTTACAAAAGATGATAATTGGATGAAATATTAGTCATTCGTTATGATGACGAAGTGTTGCTAATGTTCGTCGAAGATAAAATTTAATGAACTCATTTGATTACTAAAAAAAAAGTAATATAACATACAATTACTATTTTCAAAGTTACATTTTAGAGAATTTACATAAATTCCAAGAATGGTAAAGCAATGTTTAATTTTGTATTCTTACAAAAACAATTCTGGAAAATATTAGAAGATTCTGTACTTCATTTTCATATATTTGCCATACTAATGAAAGATGTCAAACCTTTGCATATTTTGTAGAAAAACTTTTTTTGGACTCAGGCCATTTCTAATTTCACATCAAATTCATCTCTTTACGAATTTTTTCAAATAGTATTTAACCGAGAATATTAAAAAAAAAGTTTTCTTGTTTACGCGAATATTTTTTCCTTCTCCTTACGACTCAAAACTTCAGTAATAATTTAAAACTGCTAATTGTTGT